TTATATTTCATTATAAAAAAGGGCACAGTTTTTCAAAAAGTGACTCGCCTTGTAGATGTTCCTAAATAAGAGTGTGAACCAGCCCACCCTGCAGCGACACACCCCCATCGTCGTCGCGGGGTCAAACATCTTACACAACGTAAAGCTTCAGTGTCGCGAGGGTCTTTGCCCTTTGTCAGAGGAACCATGAAAAGCCCGTATCTAAACAACGGATCACCTAGTTTCGGTATTTTTCGGAGGTCGGCGGCTGGCGTTTGTCTAGGTCCCAGCGAATCAATGCGGTGGCTCACGTGATCAAATCGACCTCCGGTGAACCCGTGGTGCAACGTTCTACGCGTTGCCGTTTCTTCAGATTCTCAACTCTATCTACAAAATTCATTTTCCATTCCGGTTTACATATTATTCCAATGTCTAGCCGTGATAGGAATCGCACGCTAAGAGGTAAGACCTCATTAATCATTGGATAGCACAAGATGTTGACTCAGGTAATACCTTTACCTGCTAATACCTTTACCTGGATTAGATAAATTGTTAATATCATGTATGTATATAGTAGGGACGGTGAGTGTATACTCACAGCACTTAAGCCACATGTGACCCATTGTACATCCTCCCGAAGAGTTGTCTTCCTAGGAAATCGTCCATCCTGTCCTTTCCAGGCTGGTGGACAGTTCACTAGAAAATATCTCCTTTATATCGGCAGATGTAGGCCACGACTAGCCAAACACACACTCTTTGGCAACCTTGAGGTATCTCACGGCGGCTTCCACGAAGGTTTTGGAAGGTGCAGCGACATTACCGTCATTGCGCGGCTTCTTCAACCTTCTTGGGGTTCCCCTAGTGGAGGTGTTCAAGTGACGTCGCTTTCCTGCAGGGGCAGCCGGTTTCTTGTCTTTATTCAAGGCGGAGATCTTGGCGCCCGCCGCAGGAAGTGCCATTGCTGTTGGTGGTGGAGTGTTGTTGGAGGGAAGAGTTGGTCACCTCTGGCAGACCCATTCAGCAGCCATTCAGCTGTCGGCACGATTCCTTACGCCTTTGCTTGGGTGAGCACTTCTGTCCAGCTTCGAGTTTGGTTTTTGTTGTGTGTGTTTTGATTGTTTCATATATGTGTGTTCCCACGAGTAGCAAGGGAAGAGTTGCTCACCTCTGGCAGACCCATTCAGCTGTCGGCACGATTCCTTACACCTTTGCTTGGGTAGGCTGGTCCACGGTGGCATGTTTCGCAAATGCTTTTGGTGACTTTTAGTTCCCCTCACCCTACTTATGTTTGCCTCTGGCCAGGAGTCCGGCGATCCCGTCCGTAAGGCCACATATTGGCTTCCCGGACAAGGTTCCCAGTCCCCTCGCCGTTCCCCTATCCGCTACCTGGGTACGCGCCCGATAGTTAGCCCAACCTACGGGTTGTTAATATAAATCGTTGACCCTTTTCTACTTGCGTCATGATGCTTGCTTCTCTTGAACTTCTTTGAATGGAAATTCATATTCGGTTGAGGTTCACTGCTTCTTCTTTTCTGTTGAATTCATCCCTGTATTTGTGGATCTCAATTGCTTCCCATATCAGCCCCTATGGTATCACTGGTTGGGGGCAATGAGAATCGTGTGGTTTCCTTTAGTACCAAGAAGTGAAGATCGACACAATCTGAAAGTTTATTGCGAAGCATCACGTACAAATGTTATGCTACGATCAAATGTTATGCTACGATCTTTCTTTTTTTGGTTATGAATAGGGATAATGTTAACATAGTTCTTTTGTAGGACAAAAAGGTCTTTTAAATTTTCACTTCCTCAGTGACCCAATTCTTAGAGGAACATTCATTACATTTATATTCAATTTCAGGATAATGATATTAGAATACATTGTAGAAATATTCAAAACTCGTATTAAAATTTGAAATTTTGCTGAGGTCTCTTCAATCCTCTTTTATCAAAGCATTTTTGAAATTACAAATGTTTTGTTCCCTAAAGTCTCTTCCCGTGTCTGAACAATTTTTTAACAAACAAAATGATATGTATTAGGTCTGTTGATAATTTTTTTACACTTTCCTTGCAAGTCAAACAGAAATAAATAAAAAGAATACCTACAAGAAGAAATCTAAATACTCCAACTTGATACAAGCTAACAAAAAAAATCTTCTAGAGATAATAGAACATCACCGAAAATAAACGAAGAACATTTTAACAAGCGGCTGTTACGACTGTGAGTTTTCTCTGATTTTTTCAAAAGACTCTAGAGATGAAGCGAAATTTGGTATATGTCTACATATTACTGCCAACCTAACGCCAACATTTAATAAAACCTTCCACTAATAGGAAAACAAAAGTCTCCAGACAAGATTCCTAAAAAGTTACAAAATTCACCACTTTGTTTACAATGTTCATGTAAAATGAAAAATAAGTATTTATTGAAAAAGTTCCGAATTGTACTATATATTCGGTGCCCCGGATATTTATCTTATCCCAACGGCAACACCGCACTCCACATATCCCATCACCGGGGGCGGTATACGGAAAACGCAGTGGGAGAAAAAACTCAAGGTCCCAAAAGGGATGGTGCATCGCATCCAAAGACGTACCGGGTGAATAACCCACATTTTATGAGATATCTCCGACGGTTTAAAAAACGGGAGGAGATTTTTATCGGGCTAATTTTAATTTATACTCGAATTGTTTATTAAATAGACGTCGGTTTGTGTATGTTAGGTTTTCGTTTGCTTCAAACGATGCGATTTGGGTGGAATTACAGTTTGTTAGGTGACAAAAAGTACTTTACTGGTGTTTTTTTTTAATGATGATAGTTTTTTCTATGATCATGATTTTTTTTAATGTCTACTGAGGCCAATTGTCTTATTTCCATATAATATTATACTGCGGTAGGTATGGCATCTTTGGGAAATCGTTTCATCCACTTTAGGAATTACTGTACTCTTCATTTTAAGTCTTGAACTATAATAATGTTGTACAGTGTCGGGTTAAGCCAGCGCGGGGCCTGTAGCAAATTCTGTCAAGAGGCCCTTGGTTTGTTAAAGGTTCTCAAGTTGTGGCGTCTTCAAGCAAGATTGCCTTCTGCTTTCCGCTACAATTTGATGGTGAAGCAGCAGACTTTATAGTAGTTGCTTTGATGGCGCGAATGATTACTATAGGGCGACAGTGGAATATTCCCCATCCAGTCAGAAACTCAGACTGCCAGGAAATCGCTCGGAAATCGCGGATACTGTCTGGTACTCTTACTGTAGCGATTTTTAACCAACAATTTCCGCTCGGAAACCGCGCTGGGAAAAACCGCTCGGAAATCGGGAAGTATATCACAGGCCTAAAAGAGAAAGTGATAAAATTTGAGCAGTACTAACACTTTATTTCAGTTTTCGTACCAAATATTTGACTGAACAGTTGATTATTATTCCACTACTCTTCCACTACTCTGATTTACCGATAATGTTCGGCTATTGAATCATTACATTATATCAATCAAGTCTTTCTCTTTTGGGGGAGTACAATTATTTACCAGCCGTGTGATCAGCAAAACTAACTGTATTTTCATATGTTTGAAGTTTCAGTCGGTTGATGGTATGAATAATTGAATAAATTGGACCTAATACAGTCCCCTATTGGACACCAGAAGTCATTGAAGTCTTCGAACTTGGAATATTTTCGATTTTCACCCTATATTTTCTATTTTGGAATAACTCACCATCAACTCGATATTTCTCCTCGCTGTGTGTGTTTCTTTTGCTCGGCAACGCGCACTTTCAATGGCCTCTTAGTTTCACCGATGTATGATTTTCCGCACTCGCAGGGTATCCGGTAAATGCAATTTTTGTGAGGCTGCTACGGATAGTGTTCCCAGATCTAAAGCAGGTCCTGATGTTATACTTTGACCCAATCCTTCTAATCCTTTCCGATAATCCTCTGATGTAGGAAAGTACAAGTACTGATTGTGGCGGCTTCTCTTCCTTGTAAAGATCTAGCTGTCTTCTAGCTAAAGCCTGTTCTACCATCACTCTGGAGCAACCATTCCGTTGAAGGTCATTTTTGATGATGCCTAGTTCCTTTACGAGACCTTACTTTGTATTACAGAGCCCGAAAGCACGGTCTAGTAGAGTCTTGGTGATTTCTCTTTTAATCGATTGATGGTGGTTGGATTTCTGGTTCAGATACTGTCCTGTGTGAGTGGATTTTCGATATACAGATGTTTCCCATGTAGTGTCGGCCCTCTTCACTAATACGTCTAAGAAAGGCAACTCGTTGTGGACTTCCTTCTCCATTGTGAAAGTGATGGAAGGACTTACGTTGTTGATGTGCTTCAGGAAAGTGTCTAGTTCTGCATTTAACTTTTTTCAGGGATTTCAAATCAATTTATATTATACTAGTTGTTGCCCGCGCCTTCGCCCGCGTAGAATTTGGTGGTTGTAGTACTAATTAGTACTATGTTGCTGTATTGATGTTGTTCCAATGTTTTGACAGAATCAGAATCAACAAACTTAGGCGTGCGCAGCGTTATAGAACAGTGCTTTCAAAAAATTGTTCTACAGCGCCGAGTTACAAAAAAATTGATAGCCTAAAAACCTTCTCTATAGAAAATTACTTATACATGTCAAGTTTCATCATGATCGGTTGAGCGATGTAGGAGTTTATCACTTACCAACCAACCAACCAACAAACATCCATTAGATTAGACAATGGAAGTCCGAACTGATGAAATACACCACGAAACATTGTCAACCATCTTCAAACAAACATTGAATACCCAGTTGAATACAAGTTTTTAGGGCAAAAGATATATCTTCGTTGAGAAAGACTCTGACCACGAATGTACAAAAAATGTATCAAAATATTATTCAGTTAATAATTTTTCAAAAAATTCTTATTCGATGGGAATGAAAGTATTGCGGTTCTTTGTGCTCAATAATCATCTACGTAAAAAGCTTGATCCAAAGTATTTGGATCAATCCTTCGTTTATCTACGAACCATTTCATCTAAATCTCCGTTTTGTTTCAGGGACACAACTGTTCACTTCCCATGTCTCCTCACAGACCAACGCCCTCTACCAGTCCATTTGGCATTCAGGGGTATCACCGTGAGTGTCGGGACCAGACAAATTCTTCAGGATGTCGACGGGCTCGTAAGACCTGGACAAGTTTTGGCCGTGATGGGGCCAAGCGGATGTGGCAAAACGACCCTTCTGAACGCCCTCAGCGGACGCCTGAGACTAGATTCCGGCCAGATATTCCTCAATAGGTAAGTTTGTATCTGTACAGGGCTGAATTTGAAAGTCTGGAAGCCATGGGGCAACGAGGGAGAGGATGCCACTATTATTTTCCAAATATAAGTTTTTTTTTGTACAGTCTTCAAAAATTTTATTGTTAGCAAATACAATCCGATATATGATGGAATCGGCCGATACTTGATGAAAATCCATAACTAACATATAAAACACATAATAAAGTGTTTTTGGAATACGTTAAATACAATCCGTGTTAGGAATCACACGTTAAAAGGTAAGCCCTCGTTAATCCTTAGCTTGCACAAATGTCGACTTCTGAGGGTTGTGGTTCGTAGGGGTGCGACAGCTGGTTAACGGAAAAACAGATTTTGAACAGATTTTTTTTAAACAATGATTTCAACAAAGAGTGTATTGATTTGTTAAGGTCAAATTGAAAACTAAATTACTGCGTTAACGAATGAAACTGCGAGCTTTTTTGATAAAAAATCGTTTATGACTTCGCCTAAATCTATCTCCTGGAGCTGCAGAATGACGTGCAGGGTCAACCGTTTTCGGATTTTTTTACTTATTTCATTTCTCTCATGGGTATTGCCACTGAAATGCCCCATCANGTCCGGCGATCCCGTCCGTAAGCCCACATATTGGCTTCCCGGACAAGGTTCCCAGTCCCCTGGCCGTTCCCCTATCCGCTACCTGGGGACGCGCCCGATAGTTAGCCCAACCTACGGGTCGTTAATATAAATCGTTGACCCTTTTCTACTTGCGTCATGATGCTTGCTTCTCTTGAACTACTTTGAATGGAAATTCATATTTGGTTGAGGTTCACAGCTTCTTCTTTTCTGTTGAATTCATCCCTGTATTTGTGGATCTCAATTGCCTCCCATATCAGCCGACTATGGTATCACTGGTTGGGGGCAATGAGAAACGTGTGGTTTCCTTCAGTACCAAGAAGTGAAGATCGACACAATCTAATCTGAAAGTTTATTGCGAAGCATCACGTACAAATGTTATGCTACGATCACCATTGAGTTTTATGTACAATTGCATTTCCTGTAACTCGGTACTCCTGTTGCAAATAAATCGCTTTTTTTGCCTAGTCTGCAGTTTCTTCAATGCTCATTCAATGATCCACGGATCTTTTGATGGTTCCTATGTATACCTTCCCACAAGTGCACGGTATGCGATATACCTACCCCTTCTGCTGATGGTGGGTTTTTTTTGTCTTTTGCCAACCTGAGACTTTGTTGTATCTTCTTGGTGGGTTTTAAAACCGTTTCAATGTTGTATTTCTTCAAGAGTTTTCCAATTCTGTCCGTGACCCTCGGTTACGGACAACCATCTGAGCCTCCTCTTCGTTTCGAACCGTGAAAGTCTTCATGGCCTTGTTGATCTCGGTTACACTGTATCCATTCGATCTCAAGGTCAGTTGAAGACGTTCCAGTCCTTCCTCTAGATGCTCTAGAAATTATTTGTTGTTACGAAACCTCTTGATGCTTACTAGATTTCTATTTGGTATTCAAATTTCATGAATTTTAGTTTTCTCTGTTCACAAAAACCGTTGTAAAGCTTAATTTCAAACCATGTTCGAAGTATGTGACTTCAGCTCACTTGATCTTGAAAAAGCCTGGGTCAGTTGCTTAGACAAGTAGAAGTAATCTTCGCGGTTTCAATGTTGGCCGTCTGCTGAACGAGGTCCAACTTGTAAGCAAATTTGTAAACATGCAGAGAAGGGGATCCGGAATCCTTATTATTTAAAGGGCTCCATCCATTACCATTATAGATACTTCTAGGGCAAAATTCAACTATGGAGATATGGAGATGTATCATTTGTCGGGTTTTTCTCGTTTTGGTACAGCTCCTCCCGAGTCTACAACAAATTAGTAGTAAGCCATAGTAAGATGTAAAGCTGATAGTAAAGCTGATACCACTAGATTATAAACATTGTAACACGGTATGTGACTCCTTTTTAGGGAATCTGATGCATGTCTACACCAAATTTTGCATTTTTGATTTTGCTTACTTCATAGGAGAATATGAAAAAGTCAGCGCCTAACACTATTCCGATTTTTAGGTTAGACTCTACAGTTTTGTTTAAATAGCAAACAATAAACAATGAAACTTTTTTCGACAATGCTACCAAATACCTTTGAGATATAACAAATAACATCGCTACCGATGGCATATGTCTATATTCTCAGGATAGCTTACTATACACTCATATCCTAAAAAATAGTCCATTATATTGAAATTGCGAGCAATATTGAAACTGTGAACGTTACAATGAATTTTATCGCCATTATTATAAGATACAAGCAGATGCGACACTATGGCAGAAAAACATATAACAGGTATATATGCTCTGGAGCAAAAAATTGTGCCAACCCAGTAATGGAAAATGTGCTGAATTGCGTTCAATTGTACTGCACTGCGTAATATCTTGGAACATCATAATAATGTAAGTGTTCTATGATCTTAGTAGCGACAGGGGTACTATTTTCAAATCGAAATGTATACGAAACATGATGTTCTATCGCATTTAATATTTCACTCGTATAAAAAATTATTTCGCATGACCTGAAAATACATCCAGAGTATTTACCATTTTTCGTTACTTCATGAAATATGGATCAGTTCTGCCAGTCAAGAAACCCGTTTTATATTTATTGAAACTGAAATATATTGAAAATGTAACCTTACAAAAAAAAACTTAAATGTGTGAAGTACTTTTTCATCTTTGACAGTTTCATTGTATCCCACAGTTTCATTCATGTATCCCAGATGAAAAATTCAATTCTATAATATAAAATTATCAGGAACTTTCTGTTGATTTGATATAGGAGTATCACTGAATTATTTTAATAATCACAATCGAGGTCATCAAGTTCATCATCGTTAATAAGTCGTATCATACATTATTTCAAATCAGATCGATAATATCTTTGCTTTTGCTAACATTTTTTGAAATATTTTAATATAGTGATAATAATAATGATGAACTGTTCATTGTTTGTCACATGCCAATCAATAGCAATAATAATAATAATAATGATATTTATTTTCCTTTTGACAGATAAAATGTATAGGAATAGTCATTAAAATAAAATGAAGTGCATATAAAACGAATCAAAAATATTACAAAATCAGGGTTTCATAATATACATGCATGAAAATACCTTAAACAAACACAAATTAATATTGAGAATTTTCTTCGAAATATTTATTTAGTGGGTAAAAACATTTTTACAATAATCATACCTTAGTCGTAAATTTACTTGAGAGTGATAGAAAGTTATCAACTGATTTTGTTGCAGTATATCTTTTGAATTCCCAAAAAGAAATGTGATGCTACCTAACTTTGACACTAACTGTTCACAATGAAATTTTCAGCTAAGAAACTCATCAACATATACACCTAAAAGTTTTACGGTTTCTGCGGTACTGCCCTTTAGTTCAATATCATATGTAAAAGTGAGTTTTTGCCGAAACATTTTTTGTCTAGTATGAAACCTTACGATTTGTGTTTTAGACTGGTTGAAATGTAGGTCATTACCACTATAGTAGGAACATTCATTTGTTCATATATACATTGCATTTTTCTTCTAGACAGTTATCATCTAAATCTGATAGAATTAATGTAAAATCGTCAGCGTTTGCTGTGTACATTCCATTTCCTAAAATATTCCCTATATTATTAACGTAGAGTAAGAGAATAGGACCTAAAATTGACCCCTGCGGCATTCCCATATCGAGTTTGATTTTTTCTGAATTTTTGTTATTATTTAATTATAATGTTGAACTTAGATTTGAGAAATGGGAAAATATTGAAATTAGTTTGGATAGTGATTCAAGATGATTATAGTTACACATCAAACAACTAAACATATAAACGTCAATTTTTAGTAAAATTATTGTGAATCTAATGAATAATTTCCTTTTTTTTTTTTTAATTCTAAAATTCTGATTTTGTACCAGGCCGGTACATGTGATCACAAAATAGGTTATAATACTAATTTTGAATGAAAATGGAGAAGAAGAAATAAATGACATGACAGTTCAGAAAACAATTACATTGTTGGATTCAGTATTGCCAAACTTTCATCCTATACAGGAATGCCAATTTCATTATGATTATTTTATGTACTATANAATGTTGCCTATGAAAGACATTTATTATAAAGTGTGTAACAACGAAAACTTAACAGAGCCGTTTTTGAATATAAAAAGTAAGAATTTTGAAAAAATCTCGGACACGTCGATTTCTTATTAAAGGGGGACACCTTTCAGTCTAAACAGATTTTTTGTAGTACGCATTCCCTCGGAGGGGTGTGTCCGACGACCCTTATTTAGATAGGGAAAGTAGGTCGAGTGGCACCTTGTTTTGAGAGTCTTTCGAATACCTTTACATCTCTGTTAAATGAAAATTTTTGTAACGATTAGTTTTCGAGATAATTTGAAGATTTAAAGGTATTTTTATTGAGTTCAACTCTTTTTAAAATGAATCAAATTGTTTTCAAGGTACAATTTACGTTCAGAAATTTCATGAAAAAAAATAATTTTTGCTTTTTATGACAACCTGCTAATACGTGTCCATTTGATTTCGCAAAAAACTAAGAATTATTTGTTTATTACGAGGAGATTTTTTCGGGGGATGGGGTTGGTTACCACCCTTACATTTTAGGTAAATTGAGTGGCACCTCCTTATGAAGGCTGCCTTTTGACGTGGATATTTTATGCTTCTGATAAAAAAGTGAATGATACTAAAAACTTACCGACACAACCAATACAATTTGCTGATTTCCTTGAATGCTGATGACACAGAAAAGTTTAAAAAACTGTTTCACGGTTAATAAATCCCAATAATTGTTTTTAAAGCACACACAAAAAAAGTAAAGCCTAATAAGGGTAACTCACATAGGAAATTTAGAGCAAATGTTAATTTCAAATTATCTCGAAAACTAATCGTCACAAAAATTTTCTTTCAACAGAGATGTAAAGGTATTCGAAAGACCTTTAA